ACGTCAAGTTAACTTATATCTCTGCCAAAGTTAATAGAAAAAACTTAGGAAGGTAAGCCCTGCATTTTTTATACCATCAAAATTAAAAAAATATATCAATATTTATTACGGCTTACAAAACTAGAATAGAACTAACAATATTTGACATCGCAACTAGCATTCGTCCCATAGATAAATATCCCGTGTGTACATTAAACTATCTTCTAATTTTTATAAAAAAATCTCTACCGACCAATCTCCTTTAATAATAATGAATTAATCTGTGCTCGACTGACACGCCAAAAAGCTATTAACAAGAAAATTGAAATAAATTGAAAAATACTCAGTGTACCACTATCTCAATAATATTAATATGAGTATTTTCGTTGCGAATTGCATGTAATCATTAGTAAATATTTTATCTATCGTCAATCAATGATAATTAATATTGTTCAATGGATACGTCAAAGCTTGTGTACTCTATACGATACCGGTTTTCGCTTTCTGCTACATTAGATGCAATTTAAATGTTTATCTCAAAACATATTATTATTACTACAAGAGTTATGAGGTGTTAAATTAAAATGATTTCGTCCGTGGAGATATCATTAGGTTTATATCTTTCTTAATTATTTACTCAAATAATTGACTCTATTTGCTAGCTTTTGCCCCGTGGCGCTACTCGTATGGTTTATTTATGCATAACTAGGTTTTCCCCTGGCTTCGATCATTTAGTTTAATTATGTATATCTATACATATAATAAAATTGTAACTAAGTCGAATCTGTACATTAAATATTTTTTTGAAAATCTTATCGAAATAGACATTATTATTGATATGGAGGCCAAATCTACAGTTTTTAGAATTTTTGTCTGTCTGTCTGTTACTGCATCACATAAAAACCACTGAAGGGATTTTTATGAAATTTGGTATGGTCATAGCTGGTTATCCGGATCAATATATAGGATAATTTTTATTGCAGGAAAATATCTCATTTCTGTAAAAAATACATAAACTGGTTAGAATAAAACCACAATGATAGTATATACACATTTAAATGAAATTGGTATATATAAGAGTAGGTATACTAATATGTAAAACCTAAGAATTTGGTTTTTGCCCATCTGAACGCGGGCGGGCCGCGGGCTAGTTACTATATATTTATAAATACTCGTAATAGCTTATGTGTTACTCTAATGTATAAACTGTATTATTGTAAGGTTTTACCAATATCCGTTCAGTAGTTATTGCGTGAGAGTAACAAACATCCATTCAACCATCCATTCATCCTCAAAAACTTTCGCGTTAATAATATTAGCAGGATTTCTTCCGCTATTCAAAATCGTAACGTTATGTTAGACTTCCTATAAACTTACTCTACTGTAAGTAGTTTCAGAGACAAGTGCGTTTAATCAAACGAAAAGATAATATATTCAGCATTAAAATATTCGTTACTACCGTTTTCCCGCGACTCCGCACATGTAGTTTAATTATGTATTATTATAACTTTATAACTAATTACCCCGTGTTACTCTAATGTGTAAGCTATATTATAGCAAAGTTTCATCAAACTCCATTTACTAATTGTGTGAAAGAGTAACAAACATATTAAATCAACACTTTCTCATAAACTTTCGGGCTTATAAGCCTTAAAATATTAAATTATTTGGATATTGTTCATACAAAAATACTTTACGACCTATTCTCATACCTAGCAAATATACATATACAAAAAAAAACCATTAAGATCGGTCCAGTCGTTTCGGAGGAGTGCGACCACAAACACTGTGACTCGAGATTTTTATATATTAGATGTACATTCTCTTACGCATCGTATCAAATTACGAAAGAGGCTTAACTAAATAACCCAAACCTATCAAAAATTGACAAGTATTATGTTTATTGACAGCTTAAACACACCTTATATTTCTACAGTCTTCCGTCTATTACTTTAATCTATAAGGAATGTATGAGTATATATACATAGATTAGCTTAGTTCAAAAATTCTTCTAGTTCAAAGTGCTTAGTATTAGCTTAGTTAAAAAACAGATGAAAATCTGAACATATATTATAAAGTACATATATATATATATATATATATATATATATATATATATATATATATATATATATATATATATATATATATATATATATAATGTTTATTGTCAATAAAATAACAAATAAATTTACTTAAAGATAACAAAAATTATCAATATTATAAGCATATTATTTAAGCATGGAAATGATTGCTACTTTTAAATCATTATCACGTGATGAAATTACAACAATTTTTCACGTGATTTCACCTGCTACTTTTCACGCATAGATTTTTGATTTCGACGGTCTGGTGTCACACTTTATATTATTTGCTATTAAAATGAAGTATGAAATGTCACCAATGGCGCTACTGATGTGATATGGAGCAGAGATATAGATCTGACGTAGTTGCATACGTACATGGTGCTTTGAATGAACCTATTTTCAAACAATGAACTTTCCCTCATACTTCTACAGGCTTGGGAATGACAATGTAAAATTAAATGAATTTTAAATATATCAGAGTAATCACACGGTAAAATTGTATTAAGCTAAGTTCCATAATTACATTGGCGTATTTAAAAGTTCATTGTTTTTATGTACAATAAGAATTTTTATAAAAGAATTTTATACACTTTTTTTTTGTTTTTCTTAATTTTTTTAATTTGTTTATAATCATTTTTTTTGCTTTTTGATTTTTTTGATGATTGATTTTTTTATGAGATATCTATATACAATAGTCTTCATTGCTTTTTAAAAATACAAGTTCCGCTGTTCGTTTTCTGCTTAATCGTGCTCTTTTTTGGGTTGCAAAATTTCCCGCTTTTGAAAATACTCTCTCACACTCCACTGATGTCACCACGATGTGACAGTGCTCATGAAATATTTCCGCCAAATTGGGGTACATATAGGAGTGAGATTTCCACCAAACTAATGGCGAAGAATCGCGCGGAAGCACTGGTTCATTAATAAACATTTCTAGCTCGTTCTCAGCGTTGGTGGTTATGTCTGTACGTATTACACATAATCATTCAGTAAAAATTATAAGTATTTGTTGGATAAAAAACTAAAAATGTGCTCTAAATTTAATTGTTGTTTCTAATTTAAAATTATTTCTAAACAATATTTCTAAGAATCCGAAATCATGCAACTCGAAATAAATAAACTCCCCAATTTACTGATCAACGGTATTAACTGAAAATTGTATTTTGTTGAATAAAAAATCAATAAAAACATCAGTACGAAAATGTATACGGAAAATGCGAGTAACGAAATGCATTCGTGAGTAACGTTTCGGTACTCGGTACTAGATGGCGTACCCGTTACTCAGTAACGAATACATACGGTTTGCTACAGCTCTAGATTTCACCAAGTTGTGATTTGTAGCAGCCACTATGAATTTAAGTAGCAGGTGTGACGTATGATTACGCATTTCACGTGATTTTTCACTTGCTACTCGTGAAATGTTCCATCCCTAATATTATTATAAAAACTAGCTTGATTTTTTAATTTAATTACTTGTTATTTTATCATAGTGCTTTTGTTTGCATTTCTCTCAACATTATTGTGTAGGAGTATTATAATTTATAACTATATATTGTAGTAATTATATATTCTGTTAAAAATTTTTAACTTCACAACATATATCTGTATTATTATTTTAATCAAAAAAAAGTTTTAAATGTATATGACCTTAAAAATAAAAACAATAAATGTCACTCGTAAAAAAGAGTAAATGTGTTTCAATATCTATAACAAACAGTTCTAAAACAGACAAACAGACAGATAAACAGAAAGCCTAGTGAATAATAGGACTCAGTAATATTACTGCCTCGATTTTATTGTGAGTATGGAACCCTAAAAATATTTTTTACTGAACTCTGTCAACTTTATTTGCATCCCTTATCATCTTATTTTTACCCAACCAATTAACCTTCCAGACCGTATAAATCGGTGCACTCGAGTAAGCCTTCAAGTCTTCGAAGTAATATTGTGGCTCGATTCAGGAAATTTACTGCCTTAATCTTCGTTGCAACTGCAGTTGGATGGGTAATTAAAAACATACATCAATTTTGAGAAGATCGATAGAGTAAATACTTTTTAATAATATTTATTTATAAATAGCTACGAATAAATAATAAATCAGGAAGTCTAATTCAAACAACGAACAAACTCCACATAAAAAGTGGCCCTACTTCAAACCAAAACGACGTATGATTAAAACGTGAATCACATCTGAGGTTACAAGCAGACATACTTGGTTGGTTGATTCGTTTAAATTCATACCGACAGCAATGATTGGTTTGCGCGCGTGCTGCAATTTGTAAAACCAACATAAAGATCAACAAAATGATCAATCGTTTATATTTAATGTTTTTTTAGTTATTACTTAAGTAATTTACGTGTAATTGTTATTCAACTAGCTGATTCTTATAGATATTGAAATGCAAATTTTTTATAATAAAAGATATTTTTATTCAATATTGACTTTTTTCTTTAACACTAATTATTAGGAATTTTTAATTTCTATGAAATTAATTAAAATTCTAAGAAATCTATTGTTAACTGACACGCCAGCGTGTGCGCGGTCGTGGGGGGATTAAGGTTTCCATGAAGGAAAACTAAAATAATAGTATATGCATTTAGTTTATATCGTACCAACATATAGTATGTGCTATTAAATTACTTACAAACTTAGGCAATTTATATAAACGTGCAACTTAACTTTAGCCTTTAAAGGTTCTCGATTCAAAACTAGGGTTTCACGTAAACAAGTATTATGCGACCAATAAAAGTTAATATTAAGTTTGACAAACATTGATAAACTTTGAAAATTTAAATATTTACCAAAACAATTTCATAAGACTTTTACAAAACTTCAGTATAAATTACAGAATTTTAACATTTTATTTCCTTTGTTACAGGTTTCTCGCTATTTGGTGGCCCTTGAAATGTCAGATAACCAAACGTCGTGCCAGGATGATGATAGTTTTCATCTGGATCTTCGCTATCCTCGTCACAACACCCTGGGTATTTTTCTTCGACTTAGTGGTTGTTTTTGAGGATAACCCGAACGTTCGCCTCTGCTTGGACGTCTGGCCCAATCCCATTAGCGAGGTTCTGTACTTTGTCATTGGAAATCTTATATTCTGCTACATTTTACCCATGGTCCTTATTACTATGTGCTACATTTTGATCTGGATCAAAGTTTGGAGGAGATCCATTCCAACTGATACCCAAGATGCCCAAATGGAGAGAATGCAGCAGAAGTCCAAAGTAAAGGTTGTGAAAATGCTAGTTGCCGTCGTGATACTCTTTGTTCTGTCTTGGTTCCCGCTCTATTTGATCTTTGCAAGGATAAAACTTGGTGGACCAATCCAGAAATGGGAGGAAGAAATGTTCCCAGTGGTAACACCACTAGCACAATGGCTTGGTGCATCAAACTCGTGCATCAACCCTATCCTCTACGCCTTTTTCAATAAAAAATATAGGAAGGGTTTCGTCGCAATCATCAAAAGCAGAAAATGCTGTGGACGTCTCCGTTATTACGAGACAATTGCCTTACAGTCGTCGAGTACTTCAACGAGGAAGTCATGGCATTATAATAACAACAACCACGCTTCTATCACACGTCGATCACCCCCCGTTGACAAGAACGCTGTGTCTTTCATATTCAACCACACCGGAGTTTAAGCCTTATGGCGATACAAGTTGGAGACAAATTCTTGTGGCCATCAGGTCTAGCGTCCTAGGCAAGTGCCTGGCGTGTTCCAGCATATCGTAAGGAAAATTAGGCTTGCATTTTATTTTCAACAGTTTGATGTTGTTCTGTGTAAGAGTTCTCTGTGACTAATCAATAATGTAAGTAAATTGTTGTTATATTCTAATTAATTTAAATGTACTTTTATACGCAATTAGATTAAAATAATAACTATTGAGCGAAGACGCGCACAAAGTATTTATTTGTCAAATATTTCTATACTTACTACGTAGGTACTTAGTACTTAGTCTGTGTCAGATGATTTTTTACCTTTACCGTTTTCTTGTTACTTGATCTTGAAACTAATGAAATGCTAGTACCTGTTTCAGCATAACTTCTCCCGAGTAAGATTTTGTAATGCATAACCTACTTTAAAAGCGTAATTTGTATTTAGAGTTAGGTTTTTATAAAATCTAACGATTTTGTTAAATCTAGTAGTAAGTAAGTACTTTTATAAAAATTCAGTACAAAATTTATAAAGAAAAAATAGAATTTATATGTAGTTGCTTCATCGTTTTGTACTCACAATAATACCTAATATTACATAACTATCTAAGGCACATTAATACATAAGTTACAACCGTTACATACGTTGACAATATTTTATATGTTCTGTCCCAATATGAAGACTGTGTTGGAATTTTATAAAATATCTGCTTCAACTTTTGATTTGTGATAATCGTATTTATTTAATATAAATACATAATTCTTTACAAATGTTATTTGTAATGAATTGTGTAGTTATATTTTTATATTTTTGTAGTTATCTGTATTCATATATTTTTTAAATTTCTTAAAAGATCGTTTACAGATTTTAATAGAAAATGTTTTTCTTCAATTTCATTAATTTAGTTGTTTAAAAAAGTAAATTATTAGTGAATTAATCACATATACCAACCACATGGGATCATGAGTTGCTGCAAAAAATCATTTTGACCAGAATTTACGCACAGACATTTATTTAAGCTTATTATTTCATATATTATTTCATTGTATAAGTTAAATGAAAATAATAATATTGAATAGGTGTAATATAATATTATTGATAAATTGTTAGTAATTTTAAAGAGTTCGTAGAAATATATTTAAAATGTTTTTGCCATTGAGAAAATACATTGTTCCTATCATATTGTTGATTTTTCTTGTTAAAATGAATTATTCATAATATTATTAATTTCAAAACATTATCATTTTTGGATAGCTCAGATATAAATCATGTAATAAAGTTAATTACATGAAAATTATCTAGTTTAACTAAAACTGTAATGTATTGAACCCCTTTTATCGTCCCACTGCTGGGCACGGGTCTCCCTTCAATACGAGGGGGATCAGGCCATCCCCACTGACCACGCTGGCCACGTGCGGGTTAGTTGTTGCGTTATTTCTGAAAACGATGGGTTATTTCTACTAACTCTTTAAAACTGTCGCCTGAGTATTGGCTGATAGCCGCTTCGAATGCACAAAAAGTAATAAATAAAATGTTTGTAATGTAAGATAATAAATAAATAAAAATATATATTTAATATAAAAATATCGTCTGTTTACATATTTTTCCGTATAACCGTTTGTTAGGAATAATCTTATAATAATCGAACTATATATACTTATAGTACACAATTGCAGCACAGTTAAAGCAAGATTTTTTATAAAAAAATAAAAATAAAATAAAAAAAGATTGTATTTTTCTACTAGGAATGTGGCATGTAGATGGCAAGAGGTTTCAGTTTTTTATTTGAATTCTTTCTAATTTATAATGTTTAGGTGCGCGGCAGCGCCGCCGCCAAGTTATAGGATTAGCATTTAACTTTTTTTTTAATTGAAATGTTCTCGTAGAATAAAAAATCGTTAGGCATAAACATGAGCTTTTTCAGAATTTCATTGAATGTTGTATGTATATCAGACTTAGTCGAAGCTTGCAAGACTGACATGAAATCAAAGATCCTTTAAAAGGAATAAAAACAGCGTGATAGAAAATAATTCAGCTATTTTTGTATTTGTACAGCGGAACTATAGCTTTGTTTTCTTTTTGATTATTTTGGTTTTATTTTAAGATGGCAAAGGAAAGTACAATTGAAGGCTTGTAAAGAAATAAAGTTTATAGTTTTATACGTTACTGGAGGAATTTTAAAACATTGTTTTATAAAAGAATGAAATTATATATTTATACAAGATTCGTAATCACTCATATAAATCACTTTTTGTAAATAATACAACGTAAGTATAGTTAAATGTTTAACGTTCTTATTATTTTAGTAGCATCTATGTATATGGCCAATTTTATTTGCCGTGTTTGATGTTAGTTTTTAAGGTCTTTTACATTAAAAAAACTTATGTATAAAAAGAGGTCGTATGTGTACAATGATCACATTCAAATTAGAGAAATTTAATAAATATTGTAGATTTTTATATTAGAGGCTTAATCATGAATGAAAATACACAATATGAACGATCGAAATCACAGGCAATAGCTCGCATAAATCATTAATAACTATGTATTACTATACTAAGATCTATTAATATACTAAGATCTTTAGAGGCGATATAAAATACATTTAATTCCAATAAACAAAATCAATGAACATAATGTGAAAAATATGTAAAAACTAAAAGGAACTTTTCTTTTTTTACACATTTTCCTTCTATTTTAGGAACTTCTACTTTTATTCTTCTTTCCTCTATATTTTTTTAACTAAATTAGAAAAATATTAGTCTATTTATATCATTATTATAATATTTTCTTTCATTTTTTGAACAATATTGTATCTTTCAAAGCCCAGCTACAATAAACGTATGAGAGGCAACATTCAAAGCTACGCAATATATTTTTATTAGTATTTAAATATAATTCATTAGTTTCGATTATATAGAATTTATAAATATTCAGTAGCAGTAATGTAGCGCGAATAATTTTTTTTTATTAAGTAAGATAACTCATATAACATATAAACGTACAATTTAGTCATAATTACATATGCTTTTAGTGTAAATTATAGATCTGTAAAATGTGTAAAAATTAAAAACGTAGGGTCGTTGTTTCAAGCAATGTTAGTTAATTATTTAGGGGTTTTAATAAATATTTTATTATGCTTCATAGAAGGAATGACTCGATTGTGTGATTTTCTTGTATTTTGAAATTTTAGAACCAATTTAGTATTTATCAAATATTTATGGCATTCGAAATAAATATATTTACCTACTTCACGTTATGATATAAAAATAAATTTTAAAAGATCCCTATCTAAATACAGAATCACATAATGGAGTCAGTTCTTAATGAAAACTATTGCAATATAAAAAATATTTACTGACTGTCGGAAACAAAAGCAATCTAAACATATTTAAACTACTGTCTTCACAAACTTTTCTACATATCAATCGAATAGCGCCCTCTATTTCCTCTTTTGTACGGTGAATTGTTTTCTATAAAAAAAACATAAAAATCTTGAAAAAATCATACTGTTATCAACATTAATATATTTTTAAAGGAAAATATCTATGTTATGATGCCGAATAATAAAAAAATATTTATAATCATCTCGCGGGTGGCATTGATTGTTTTGACGGATATCGTAGGTTCGATAACGCTCGTTAATATTTTATTATAGTCATACACATCTTTCCAGACTGGAATAGGAAATATGCGTGTGATTTAAATAAAGATGATTTTTTTTTTAATGTAATGAAATTATTTTTGATTAAGAAAAATATTATTATAAAGTGCAAATATCACCTATATTCGAAGGAAATTCAAAGTAGTTGAAGAGAATGCCATTGATCTGACCGAGTATGACGTCAGAGTATATTATCATAACAGAGCGATTAGCGATTTTGTCGCTACAAATTACGTCGTTTTTTCAGTGTATAATAGATATACTGTGACGTCACGCCAAGCGCGCGAAATGGCGGGCCTTTAAAGTATTCATATCGGTATGATATATTTTTTTTATACTAAATTTTAGTTTTTTTTTGAGCTGGATATTTTTTACAATAACATACCAATGTTAGCTATTTTTTTTTAAATAAAAAAAAATCACGCATGTTCCCTATTAGGAAACATACTCAAAGAGTTGTATACCATTGGTCATATTTTGTTATCATATTCTTTATTTATTATTGGATAAATCGAATTTATTTGGTTCGCAGTACGAAGTAACATATGATAGTTTTATTTTCGAACTAGATATATTATAATTTGTATTTTTATATATTATAAATTTTTTGATTTTACTGCAGGAAAACATGCGGTATATATACTAGAGATCTATTATTTTCTATGGTACCATGACATTGCGTTTTGTTTTAACTCATATATTCTTATCTCATCGAGTTTTATCTTAAATATGATAGTGAATAAAGTCACGTAAATATTTATATTTCTTTTGATCGTGCAGTTATTCAAGTGTTAGTTTTGGTTAAAACTGACGGTGGTAAAGGATAATTAGTCAGCGCACATTTTCTTAGAATAGTGGACAAGAATAAGGCTTCACTGAGTTCTCTCTACCAATCTATACAGATAAACAAAATTAATGTGTCTGTTTGTAATGTCAAAATAACAGCATTTTACTAAATGCAAATGAAGTTATATACGGTACTTATAAGAAAAACACATTTTTTTAATTTTTGTCGGTCTGTCTGTTTGTTCCGGATAATCTCTGAAACGGCTGGACTGATTTTGACGGGACTGTCACTGAAAGATAGCTGATGTTATAGGGCGTAACATAGGTTACTTTTATTTTAGAAAAAGAGAATTAGGGTTCTGCTCAAAAAAATTAAAACGTAATTAGGGACGAATCCGAGCGAAGCGAATATTATAAAGAGGAAAATAATATTTTTTTTGTTTATTTGTTTGTATCGAGTAGGCTCCTAAACTACAGAACCAATTTAGATGAAATTTGCAAAGAAAATAATATGGGACCCTGGAAAGGACATA